ATATATATATAGAGAGAGAGAGAGAGAGAGAGAGAGAGAGAGAAATAAAAAGAAAGAAGGCTCATTATCGTGCGTGTGTGACAAATCGAAGATCTAACGCGTTGTGGCGTGAAACGTTTCGGGATGAACTGAGCACAATGGACATCCTCGTGTTCGTTTCGTAATTGGTGTCGAAGAGATATAAGATAGGAGAATAGAGAGGACACCAGGATAATCGTCGACGGGGAGGCCGTCGAGAGGGACGAGAGCAAAATGAGGGCCCCGTTGCTTCTCTTAGGCGGCATTGTTGTACTGTCGCTCGCGGTGGCGAGAGCTCTTTCGTGTGTGTGCTCACCGCTGGAGTGCGACATTCTTACCGACGAGGACTGTCCCGGAGGCCTCACCTGGGATCCCTGCAGGTAGGCGACGTTTACCCTCACCGCCCGGAGAGATCTCCAAAGAGAAGCTCCGGCTCGATACTGAAATACCAACGAGTTCCTTTGGAATGTGACTTGCACGCTTTTTATCCCCTTAGTTAGGAAGACTTTTCTTCCAGGATATCAGCGGGTTTATTATTTTTAATCGATTTTTTTCTATCGCGATTATATTATATATAGAATACTGGAACAGTTCAATTATTCGTGATATGCGGCAAAGCAATAAATATAAATTTGTGCCATACCATATAAAAGGTATTTTAATAAATTTCGATTATCAAAAAGGAAAATATATCGAATTTTATTGTATAAATGCATCGTACTTTTGGCACATTACGAATATTTACATACTAATTGCGTCTTCTCTACTGCAAAGATGTCATACTGTGCAAAAACATAATTTTCAATTTGAAACTGTATACAGTCGGACTCTTTGTGTTCCGTAGTAACAATTGTGTTCTACTACGCGTTGTAATTAGTTCCGAGTACAGCGAGCAATTAAAACGCGTGCCACAATAAGGCCCCCGCTACCTGCGTTTTTTTTCTCCGGGTAACGAGAAAATACCCTTCTTTGTTGTTCATCCACCTTCATCTCCTCTCGTGCGCGAATTGCATTTTCGCGTTAGCGACTCATTTGAAGAACAGCGAGGATAGTGTTACCTATATAAAGATAAATCGCGCGCATGTTGAGGAAGGCATGCATGCACTAAGGATGGTGAAGCCTCGAAATGCTATACGATAGCGTTTATCATCGACGTGTTTGATATCCATGCGGCCGACACGCGATGCCCTTGGGTCTATTTTCATCCACCCACGCACACAGACGTGCGGACATTATTATGCTATTATACATATTCATACTATATATTATACATCATATACAGAGTGTCTGATAATTATTGACACAACGCTTGTGGGCAGGTAGAGCGGACTAATCTCGTCGAGTCGAGAAATTCTGTACCATTTTGCAATTTTCGCGATGATTAACGAGATATTAATTACGTTAAAAATCGTCGAATAAGCACATATCCGCCAAATGCAAATGAAAATTGCAAAATAGTATAAGATTTTTCGACTCAGTTTAGTCCGCTCTATTCACACGAACGTTGCGTCAATATTTATTAGACACCTTGTATATTCCAATGAAGGTGGGGCATGCACCTAAGTTTAGGTATGCACTTGTGTTTTATGACCCGTACAAACAACCTGATGCAGAACAGGTTCGCGCTAGTAAATGGAGAACATTAAGAATAATATATAATAAAGTTAATAAGTATATTTACTACGAGAGAGAGAGAGAGAGATTCCAAAAATTTTGCAATTTGAAGAAATAATATTATATTATTATATAATTATTATTACACGCTAAAGCTTTATTTTATCATAATTTACATTTATGCCATGAATGTTTGTATTCGCGACGAAATAATGCTATCATTAATTATTAGTAAAATAAAAGCTGCATTATTTAATGCAGATATACATAAAATGCAACATATCGCAATATGCAATCATATTGCGTGATAAAGTATGTTGTAAACCACAATCTCGCGAGTATTACCGCCTTTTTTAGTGTAGAGAGCGAATGTATAGGTTACATCCCCTTTAACAAATATTTGCGAGGAAAGTACCAAGATAAATTCTATTTCGCGAGCGCGATCGATGGCAGCTTCATGTAAGTGCGATAATGACACATTATAAAATCAGATTAATTACGCGTGTCAATATGTGAATGGCTAACAAATATTTGTGCATATAAGATAAAAGAAAAAAAAAAGTAACATTATTTCTGCGATTAACGCGATAATTCGCAAGATTAACTCCTTCGCTGCGCAAAATAATGTTAGAAAATGTTATGTAAGAGTAGCGTATGTATGAACTAGATTTTTTTCTCGTAATAAATATAGGAGAATGGATATCGTACATGCGCTATATACACACACACACACACACACACACACACACACGCGCGCGCGCGCGCGCGCGCACACACACACACACACACACACACACACACACACACACACACACTCGGCGAAATTAAATTCTTTTGAACATTTAACTTATATGCACCGAAAGCTTTAACATTGCAAAGAGTTCGTAAAAGCGATAATATCTCTATACAAAGATATCCATGTAAGTCAATCTTGATTAAATATTTCTATTAGATGTGTGCTTGCAAGGTAACTTTGACAATTCAGAACCATTTCAGGTACTTTGGCTAGGTACATTATATAATACGCAATTAGAAAGCCTTTCATCTCTTCTATATTCACGAGTAGAGGGCGGATAAGACGACTCTTCAAACCGCGGCTCTCCTCACAGCTACTCGAAGCGTTAGAAATGTGCGGTTGAGATTGAGATTTCTCCTTTTCCTTTTTTCTTCTTTTACGATCGAGAAAGTTACTCGTAAGATGAACAATTTCAGCGTAATTGCTTTTCAAGTGCGAGACAAAGATTGATGCTTGTGCGAGAATCGAATAAGAATCGTGCCGAATCGAGAACTGTGGATTGAGATCGAGCTGTGATTTATGCGTTAGATTAAATCTTCAAATAAGAGATGCGAATGTGAATTTCGTTGAGGAGAATATAGATGAATATTCATATCATTAGTAAAGCCTTATGATTTTTACTTTTATGTATTTTACGATACTTTACAATACTTGGATTGCAAAAATGGATTCTTTACGAAATTCATATAAGATCTACGTAAATCTTCTTTACGCAATTCAATAGTTTAGCCACCAAGCGTTCTGCTATTCTTCTCAATCACCTTCTGTACCTGGTCTTATTCGCCCTGCGTATTTTCTCGATATTTCAGCATATGCACTATAATACAGTCGCGCGCGTCGATACGTACAATATGCTGATTCGAGAACGTCGGAATTGAATTTCAAAGGAAGCGACACGCGTGCGCGGAAGTAGAGAAAGATTTTTCCAGAGTGGTCTCGAACAGTTATAGCATCTTTTCTGAGAAGGACCTTTGCGAATTCAATAGGTGTATCTAACGTTTATTGCTCTGTGGAATTTCCAGAAGTTCTTACGGGAATTTTAGCGATTTAGAAGGATAGGCGGAAGACCGTTACGACGACAGCGACGACAGCCATTGAAACATTCGATACTGAAAGATATTCGAGTGATCTCAATGGCGACGAGGTAGTTTGAAGAGAGAAAAGTTTTATTTTAGTCAAATTCTTACGTATAATGAGTGTGTCATTTTATGCAAATTTTCTGAACGTCAATAAGATTTGTCAATGTGGACAAGTAATATCACAGTGTTGATATTTGTGTCGCCATTAAAGACAACATCGATATCACACACATTATTTTTTTGCATTTCAATATTGCTTCATTTGTATGCAATGTCTCGATCTCGCGATATAAGGGATGGAGAGACACATATAATTTCGCGGATGCCATACTCACTATAGAGTTCGCGCGTAACATATTTCAATGAAATTTCTCTTCTCCTCGTAAACATTCAAACGGTATAACGTTAAACATCGGTTTCAGATCGTTTGGAATCTGAATCTCGTATCGTTGTCTCGATTGCGGCTTTGGCTGGTACAATGCATGATCGAATATCGCGAATCGGGTATATTCGCAAATCTCATCGAACGCAATCTCATCGTTTCGTATTGAAAAGGGTCACATCGTTACAGATTGTATTGCTATAGAAATTTTCACTCTCCCATCATAGAGGAAAACCCAATCGTATTCTGGACCCTAAGTAAATCAAATAATGCAACATTTTTCAAATATAACGATTACTTTTTGATGTATTTTACAAAATGTATTTTGAAGAGTTATAGCGTTGTAGTATCTATTCGCGAGTGTTTTTTTTTTTTGCAATTATTTTTCGTTGCATTCGAACAATTTTTGTCAAACGTTGTCTTTCTTTTATCAGATATCGCGATTTTATTTCAAATTTACGACAAAGAGAAGTAATCACTTTTTATCTCTTTGGTTCGAAAGGAATGAAACTTTCAAGTTGCTAAAAAAAGCTGACATACACTTTGTGATATTTCTCAGGCCCGCATTGTTTTCGCGACTATTAGGTAAGAGAAACTGTATTTTCTTATCAGCCCATGCGATTTGAAACTCATGCTTGGTGGAAATCGGCAAATACGACTACATGTTTTTCCATGAAATAATGATTGTATATGAAAGGGTATGTGGAACGCGGAGTGAAACTCCGCGTTCAGCAGTGTATCGGAAATTTATCGGAAAATATTTAGCATGTAATGCCATTGTTGGTCATGGCAGCTGATATGCGAATTAGCAATTGCCAAACAGAACAAATTATCCTTTTTTTTTGTTGTCATACAAACACAAGTACATAACTAAAAGCATACAGTTCATTAATCTTTTTCCAAGTTTATTCCGATCTATCAACCTAAAAGCGATTACACATTAATTACGGCAAATAATATGAAACGCATTTGTGGTATGCTTTTAAACACAACAAAGCCATATTTCCTGATATTTAAAATATTTTTAAAGAATATGGAAATAAAAATATATAGATTCGTAGAAATGCTTTAAAAATTTAAAACAATAATTTTACAATAATCGTATGTATATATTTATAATAGAATTAATATAATTATCGCTGATTAATTAAAGTTTACAATGATAATTGTTGTATTTTCATATTAACTTTTAATCTTTTGATATCTTTTTTCCCTATAAGTTACGTTCTTGTGTCTTATAAGAATGTGCTGGACTAAAAACTATATGGAAGTAAATTGTTTCACGGAAAGCAGCAAGGAATACATAGAAGAAAGACACCCTTCGTCCTCACTGCTGCTGCTGGGACGGCGTAATAAAATTCCTGGTTGCAGTTGACAATTTTCCGCGAGATTATTTTCCGTGTGGTACGCCGCGGGCTGCACCTTGAAATTCTTTCCCATTCTTTTTTCTCTCAGAACTTCGTAAGACTATCCTCCGTGCTGCTGAGCGTGCCGCTCGCAAAAGTGATATGCACTTGCATAATATGTAGAAGCTTCTCAATTTCTTACATCTCGCTTCAAGTCAAGTTTCTTCAAAATAAAAATGCAAATGTCATTGCACAAGGATTTACACGTCGGATTGTAAATCTCATGATGTCTTATGAAAGATTACAAATATTGTAACAATTGATAGTTATAATAAATTCGATAGTAATAAATGTGTATTTTTATACGTATTCACGTAGAAAGAATGATCTTGTTGAAGTGTCTAAAAATTCAGCTAAATTTGAAAATAATTTTATTGAACCATTAAAATAATTATGTAGGATAAATTAATTAATTCAAATTAATTAGCTTAATAGCTAGAATGTTATAATTTTTTGTAGTATTGCTCACCATACTTGAATTTTTTTACATAATTATTTTTTGATGGCTTAGCAAAATTATTTTCAGATTATTTAGTTAAGCTTTTCAGCAGAATCTTTTTTCCTCCTGTTCTTATAAAATTTGAAATGAATTTAAAATATTAAATGTTAAATCTGGCCATAGACGCCAAAGTACGATATTTAAAATCCTATTCTATTTTCATATGGAGAAAAAACGATTTTACTGAAATATTAAATATTTTGACCAGCTTCGAACTTGATTTGCGATGGTACTTCGGTTAATAAGGATAAACAATTAACAATATATAGACAGCTTAAATAATTTAAAATTGAAATAAATAAACAAAAAAGACTACGGGTTAAGCTAAATGTTTGTTGCTAATGTTAATAGGAATAATATTTAAAAATGTAGATAGATACAGATTTGTAAATAATTTTGTTGGATGAAAATAATTTTCAAAGAACTCAATGTGATGAGCAATGCTACAAAAAGTTTTGACATTGTAATAAACAGCTTGAGAGTCCTACATAATTATTTCAATAGTCGAATAAAATTTATTTTCAGATGTGTACCTAGCTAAATTTATAGAGACACTTCAATAAAATTGTTTTTTCAATGTTTTAAAATGTGAAAATTTTTATGATAAATTTATTCAAAATGTATGTCATTTTTATATATTTACATATAATTGGCTAAAGAAATTTTTTGCTAAACTGATACTCGAAACTTTTATTTCCTGGCAAATATAATAACAGATTTGTATCACTTTAAATCAATGTAAACTCACATTATTGTTCTAATTGATTTTGAAAAGAAACACAGACGAAATCCTTTCGTTTCGTGAGTTCAAGAAAGATATATAAGGAATGCTTTATATTTTAAAACATTTGTATCCCCTTGTCGCCAGCAGAATTTTTTACAAGAAAACAAATAGCCGTATATTCGAATCAAAGTAAACTAATTAGCTATAATGCGCATGTAGCCACTTTTTATTTATTTCGTTTCTTATCGTTTTGTATATTACAATTTTTTATTATTCGTTTTTCGTCGATAAAAAAAAAGAAAGATTCAATCTTAGTGATTTTGAAGTAAAGCTGAAAGCTGAATATATTTCCGTTACAATAGCAACTAATAATATCATTCGTTTATATCGCATAAAAAAACTAACTTTTCTCATTTTCATTCACATGTGCAAAATTTATATAATGGCGAGAATTAAGTAAAATCTTCTTTTTATACATTATTTTCTCGTTCTAATATTTTGCATACTAAAGGTGAACGTATGAAACATCGGATTTATGTATAATCTTATTGCCACGCAAAAATACATATAACACGCAGTAGTCCAATTATAACTTTTCGCTCGAGTTATTTTATGAGCTTGAAGTTGCCTGTCGCGCGTAAACTGACTTGATTTGTGTATTGAGTGTGTACAGCTATATCTTCCCTATATATGTACATAAAACGATTGATTTTATGTGTCTGCAGGTGTTGCAAAGTATGCGCGCGTGTGGAAGGCGAGCCTTGCGGCGGTCTCTTTGGTTTTTCGGGAACCTGCGCTGTCGGTCTACAATGCGTAATCATGAATTTGCTAACTCGCAGTCGAGAAGTGGACGAGGGCGTCTGCACGAGTAAGTATATTTATGAGAGAATTTTTATTTAAAAAGAGATTAACATTTTTATTTAATTAGAGAATAGAGAACGGTAGAGAGAATTCTATTATGAAAATCAAATGCAATCACTTATATGATACTGCAATTACAATGCTGATAGAAACGCTAATAAAAACATCCTCGATACCGTTTCTTTGTCGCAATTGGACAAACTGGTAGCAAAATATACTACCAATTGCCAGTAATGAACTTTGCTCTTATACAGAGAATTTTTAATTCTTTTAAAATTAAGTTGTACTAAAATAAAAAGATGCCACGTTTGCATTTTTAATTCCATGAAGTTTTTGTTAAATTTCAAGCACGTTTTAAATATCATGGCTTTTATCAAGATTTAATTCTTTTAGTGATAATATGTTAATTCTATTATAATCCTCGAAAGGATTTCTTTACACGTATATATTTCTCAACGTGTGTTCATAATGAATATACAGAAATAATATATAATAGTGATTGTCTTATCGTGTGAGTAGTAATGTAACGTCATTCGCATTTAATAAGCTCAAAATCGACAATAAATCTTTGTGGATAATGTTTCTAGATACGTGTGTGTTGATACGATTGTATCATGAATGTAGTTTCATTATCCCTTTTGGTTTATACTCTATCGTAAAGCTATGCGGTATTCATGGAGATAATTGAATAGCTCGATACGAGAGAAACTAATCATGGATGACAAATGATGATTATGCAGTTATTATTTCACGATTTTTATCTGTACAATAATAGCACAATGTATAACATTGATTAGATAATTACAGTACTTATTTTACATTT